TCTGGAACACCATTCTTATAAAGTCCAATTAGTCCTCAGTATTTGTTACACCTGTAAGTTTTCACTTACCGAGTGTAAATTTTCTGCTGTTCCATTGATTTCTCAAATTCTTTTGGTGTAATCCATCCATTTCTTTTGGTATCAATCTCCTGTTCAATTAACAAAACTGACATATTAAGCATTACTTAAAATATACAATACCAATTAATGCAAACAAGTCACACCAGGGGATTCATATAATATTAAACAAAGTATTGTGTCTAAAAACTTTTCATAGTGTTACAGCTATGTAGTCAGCTATTCATTTTCTATGAAAAAATCATGGAATTGTATAAACTTCAGCTCTGAAAAGGTGCCATAACAGATACTACAGATTGTTTATATAAATAAACTTTGACATACTGTAAGACTAATAAAATATTAAGTAAAAAGATAATCTGAGTTGTATAATGAAAATTTCTTGTGGAAGAAGTTAGTGTAAGTCAAAATATACATTATCAAAATAACTGCTGAGTATCTCAGAATTTCTGGTAAAAGAAACTTTCCTGTGCTTTCAAAATAATAAATGTACGTGTTTCTTCTGTGGAATAAAGTTTAAAATTTATTAGAGTATGGTCTACCTATAGGAAAAACTTTTCTATAAATATTAATTTATTTCTATTTATTTAGATAAAATCTGATGAAACTGGAGTAATATGGGATCTTGTCTTTGAACGCTTTACTTCTTTCCCAAAGACAAATAAAAATTACTAAGACAGATTTACTTATAGTAATGTAATTATGTAAGCATAATGATTTTGGCAACTGTTTTAAATGTCCTATTAAAATGTCAAAATAGTATAAAAAATTCCATCTCTAAAATGATCAGGTAACAGTAATGAAATTTTTCTGTACTTTCTACTAACAGTCTTCAAAGCAAGTTAATATAATTCTATGTACAGTTTATAGTAGGTTAGCATGACCAAATATATGAGATAAAATGTTTAACGAGAATCAACAATGAATGTACATTATTCCCATGATCTTAATAACTAAGAACATCAGATGTTACCCCTAATCAAGTAATTGTATAAAAAGATTGATCTACATCTTCTTTTATTATAGTATTCATATTATAAGCACTAAAACAATATATAAAACAATCCTGTAATATAAAACAACTTTAATCGTCAATTGTTAATTTGTTGGTCGTGATTTATGTTTAAACAACAAAACTCATTTTTCTTATTTAAAAATACTTGTTATTTAAACAGAATAAATATCATTATCATGCAATATATATATCTGTTAGAGTCAAAACATGTTTTATATAATAAGCACATACTGCAAATAAAATACAAAAACATGTTATCAGTAAGTGAGAAACTAGAAAAAAAATTCAGTTTTTTTGTTGTTGTTATTTTTGTTTTAAAATACTGAAATTAGAACCTTTTTTTTTTCCTACTTTAAATTTCCCAAAGAGGACGAATATATAGGAGTAAAAGAATATGCCTATGCTATCCAGGAGCAGGGGTACAGAAAGATAGTTAAGAGTGCTGGTAGCAATGCAGTTTTTGTGGTACATGTTAGGGCTAATGATGTAAGGAAAGATGGATCTGACGAGCTTATGGATAATTATAAAACACTGATAAGGGCACTTAAGGAAAGAGATCATAGTTTGATTTTGTCAGATATATTGCCAAGAATAAATTGTGGAGATGAGATACTAACTAGGATTGAATGCCAGGCTTAGATCAATATGTAGGGGTGAACAAATAGGTTGGTTGTATTTGTGGGATAGTTTAATGGGAAAGTTAATATCTTTGGAATGAATGTGGCTTACACTTAAACAAGGCAGGGGCTAGCTTGTTAGCAAGGGCTATTAACTCAGCTGTAGTGGTAGATTTAAACTAGGGATAGACAGAGGAGAGGGCTATATAACAGGCATAAAACGTGAACATATTTTAAAATCTATGATTAATTGTTACTACTGTAATGCTAGGAGTACTAGAAATAAAACTGATGAGTTCAAAGAAGTTGTGGAAACTGAAGATTGATATTATGGGTATCACTGAGACTTGGTTGGATCTGAACAATTTTGATGAGAGAAATGTTTTTGAAATACCAAGCTACAGATTATTTACTAGTGATAGAGTATTGATAAAAGAGGTAGGAGTAGTTTTATATGTGAGGAGTGATTTGCATCCTGTTGAGTTAGAACATATTAAAGAAAATAGCACAGAGGTTGAATCAGTTTGGATTGGTGTTAGTGGATATAAAGAGAAAAGTCTTGTAATTGTTATAGACCCCCAGGTCAGAATGTGGAAGTTAATGAGAAACTGTATAATGAGATCAGAATGGTAGCTGAAAAAGATGTTATTATGGGAGATTTAATTTCAGGGGTATTGATCGGGAAAATGTTGAGTCTGACAGTAAGAGGGATAAGTTTTTTGAAATTGCTCAGGATACTTTTATACACCAATTGGTGATGGAACTTACAAAAAAGGAAGTTATATTAGATTTAATATTAGCATCTGATGTGAATATGATAGACAGAGTTGTGATTGGTGAACATTTAAGTACAAGCAACCATTGCACTATTAGGTTTGGGATTTTACTATATGTGGATTGAAGAAGAATAGTACCCTGATTCTAAGTTTCAGGAAAGCCAATTTTGATGGAATGAGACATGACTTGGTTTCTGTAAATTGGACTAAAGATTTGGGAGGGGATCTTGAACAGATGTGGGAACCATTTAGGGAAAAATTGATATGTATACAGAACATATATATTTCCTACAGAAAAAAAGGGCAACAGAGCAGAATAAGCCAGTATGGTTTAGTAAAGGTTTAAGAGATCGTATTAGGGATAAACATAATAAATTCAAGAAATTTAAACTTACTGGAAATAATAAAGACTCGGAGGAGTATAGGAAATCAAGAGAGCTGGTTAAAAACGGCAAAAACTGTATATGAAAGAGAGCTGGATGAGGGAGTTAAATCAAACAATAAAGAATTCTTTAGGTATATGATGGGTAAGCAAAATATTAGGATGGGGATCGGGCCTCTTCAAAATGATAGTTGGGAGTTGATTTTGGAAGATTATAAGATGGTAAATTCATTAAATTATATGTTCTCTTCAGTTTTTACGAAGGAAGCTACAAGTATTATGCCCCAACCACAACACATAATGTATGGGAAAAATATTGATGTAAAAGATATCATTTTAACTTCTGAATTGTAAGAGAAAAGTTGGGAAACCTAAAAATTTATAAATCCCCTGGAACAGACAACTTTTATCCTAGAGCTTTAAAGAAACTTAAAAATTTTACTTGTGAACTGCTAGCTAATATTTTTTATAGGTCATTGAGTATTGGAAGAGTATTAGAAGATTGGAAGTTGGCTAATGTTAATCTAATATTTAAAGGAGGTGATAAACATTGTCTAGGCAATTATAGGCCAGATAGTCTTACATCAGTAGTTGGAAAGGTTTTGGAGAGTGTGATTAAAGATGTATTACAGAGTCATATAGACAAGTTTGATATAGTGTCAAAGAGCCAGCATGGTTTCACTAAGGGAAAGTCTTGTTTAACAAATCTTCTGACATTCTTTGAGGATGTTACTGCAAGAGTTGATGAAAGAAATACTGTGGATTTGGTTTATTTTGATTTTCAGAAAGTACTTGATAAGTTTCCTCACAAAAGACTTGTTACATAAATTAAAGCTGCAGGTGTGGGAGGAATGTTATTAATTTGGATAGAAAATTGGCTGGAGAGTAGAAATAAATGGAGTTAGATCTGACAGTTACAAGCGGTGCGCCTCAGGGCTCTGTGCTGGGTCCTCTGCTGTTTGTGATTTATATTAATGATATTGACTCTGGAATGACTAATAAAATTTTGAAGTTTGCTGATGACATTAAGATTTTTGGGGTGGCTAACTGTATCAAAGATGCTGCAGACTTACAGATCATTTGATGCATTGGGCCAATACGTGGCAGATGATGTTTAATTATCCAAAATGTAAAGTGATGCATGTAGGTTTTCACTAATTAAATGGGAATACATTAAATACCATGGATGAGGAAAAATATCTTGGTGTTGTGATTAAAAATTCACTTACATCATCTAAATAGTGTACTGTAGCTAGCAATAGGACTAACAGGATTTTGGGTAGCATCTATAGAAATATTGATACAAGAAAAGGGATATTATTGATTCACTGTATAGATCACTTGTAAGACTGCATTTAGAGTACTGTGTACAGTTTTGGGCTCCTTTCCTCAAGATTTTGGGTAGCATCTATAGAAATATTGATACAAGAAAAGGGATATTATTGATTCACTGTATAGATCATTTAGAGTACTGTGTACAGTTTTGGGCTCCTTTCCTCAAGATTTTGGGTAGCATCTATAGAAATATTGATACAAGAAAAGGGATATTATTGATTCACTGTATAGATCATTTAGAGTACTGTGTACAGTTTTGGGCTCCTTTCCTCAAGATTTTGGGTAGCATCTATAGAAATATTGACACAAGAAAAGGGATATTATTGATTCACTGTATAGATCATTTAG